GAGGGACTGATGCTGAAGCTGAAACTCCAATACTTTGGCCACCTGCTGTGAAGAACTGACTCATTGGAAAAGACACTGATGCTGGGAAGGATTGAAGGTAGGAGGAGAAGGGGATGACAGAGGATGAGATGGTTGGATGGCATCACCAACTCGATGTACACGAGTTTAAGTTCTGGGAGTTGGTGATGGACAGGGAAGCCTGGTGTGCTGAAGTCCACAGGGTCACAAAGAGTAGGATACAACTGAGCAACTGAACTGAACTGATACTTGCTTTACAGTGTTGTAAAACTATGGCATCCCTCATCGGTCAGTTGGTAAAGAATCCGCCTGCAATGCAGGAGACCCTGGTTCAATTTCTCGGTTGGGAAGGTCCCCTGGGGAAGGGATAGGCTACCCACTCCAGTATTCTTGGGCTTCCCTTGTGGCTCAGCTGGTAAAGAATCTGCCTGCAATGCGAGAGACCTTGGTTTGATCCCTGAGTTGGGAAGATCTCCTGGAGAAGGGAAAGGCTATCCACTCCAATATTCTGGCCTGGAGAATTCCATGGAATGTATATGCCATGGGGTTGCAAAAAGTCGGACACAACTGAGCAACTTTCACTTTCACTTTCCAATGTTGCGTTAGTTTCTGCTGTATGACGAAGTGAATCAGCTTTATGCATACATATATCCCCTCCATCTCACTTCCCCACCCCCATCCCACCTTCTAGATCATTGCTCAGCACCTCGTTGAGCATCCTGAGCTACACAGCAGATTCCCACCAGCTATCTGTTTTACACATGGTTGTGCACATCTGTCAATCTCATTCTCTCAATTCATCTCACCCTCCCACCTTCTGTGTTCACATATTCATTTTCTACATCTGTCTGTGTATCTATCTATTCCTGCCCTGCAAATAGGTTCATCTGTACCATTTTTCTGGATTCCACATATATGTGTTAATATATGGTATTTGTTTTTCTCCTTCTGACTTAACTTCACTCTGTATGACAGACTCCAGGTCCATTCACATCTCTACAAATGACATAATTTCATTCCCTTTAGTGGCTGAGTAATATTCCATTGTATATATGTACCACCAACCAAAAGAAGAATACATTCTAATTCAGTTCAGTTCAGTCACTCAGTCGTGTCTGATTCTTTGCAACCCCATGAACCGCAGCACGCCAGGCCTCCCTGTCCACCATCAACTCCCAGAGTCCACCCAAACCCATGTCCATTGAGTCGGTGATGCCATCCAACCACCTCATCCTCTGTCATCCCCTTCTCTTCCTGCCCTCAATCTTTCCCACACCAGGGTCTTTTCAAATGAGTCAGTTCTTTGCATCAGGAGGTCAAAGTATTGGAGTTTCAGCTTCAATATCAGTCCTTCCAAAGAACACCTAGGACTGATCTCCTTTAGGATGCACTGGTTGGATCGCCTTGCAGTCCAAGGGACTCTCAAGAGTCTTCTCCAACACCACAGTTCAAAAGCATCAATTTTTCAGTGCTCAGCTTTCTTTACAGTCCAACTCTCACATCCATACATGACTACTGGAAAAACCATAGACTTGACTAGATGGACCTTTGTTGGCAAAGTAATGTCTCTGCTTTTTAATATGCTGTCTAGGTTGGTCATAACTTTCCTTCCAAGGAGCTAGCGTCTTTTAATTTCATGGCTGCAATCATGCTAATTACAATATATTTAAACCTGAGACAATAAAAATGACACATCTGGTGAGGAGGGGGACTCACAGCAGGGTCTCCAGGTTCAGAGTTAGATATCTCCACCCTTACTCTTGGCAACTCCTTCTCACTCTGTAATACAACGAGATTGTGATGCACAAGGAAGCTTGGAATTACCCTATTTAGGAATAGAAAGGACTTACACTGATGCAAACATGAATTCTGATAAAGGAATACCTTTACAGTTCAGTTTGGGAAGGTCTCTCTCAAGTCAAATGCAAAATCACATCAAAAACTCCTTGACTTTTTTGTAACATAAGTCTATTTTACTTTAGATAAGTAACATATATTATGAGAATTGGACTTGCAACACAAGAAGGTGCTTACTGATGTTTCAAAAAGGGTCACCATTTCAGATTCTTTCAATGGGTAATTTCCCAGTTTTGTTCACAAAGTGATGTTAAAAGTTACCTCAACTTTTCAGAAGTATGATGACTACATAAAACAAAGTCCACATGCATTTTTATTAAGGGTGTTCCCAAAGCCTTTCAAACTTCACCCTGTAAATCCTCACTGATATCTGCTTGGTGATGGTGGTGGTCTACGTTATGTCCAACTCTTTGTGACCCCATGGACTGTAGCCCACCAGGCTCCTCTGTCCAAGGGAAAACAAACACATAAAGGAGCAGTTTTAAAATCCTCCTTCTTCCATCAACACTGGCAACCATGCAATAGTAAATTCTCCCCAGTTAAGTGTTTAAGTGCACTGGGCTCACAGCCAGTGGGGATCTCTGAAAACACAATAACCCCTAGCTTTATTTCCCAAGGTAGAGATTTCTAAAACAAAGGCAGGGTGCAAAAGTACAAAGCTGATGCAAACAGAACTATCCAGCTATAAGCACTGCCCCTAGATGCAAAGTGTATGAGATTTCTGCCCTTGAAATGTAGATCACTGGCCCCGTGGAACCAAGGACCATTTTGTGTGTGTAGGTACCAGCAGGATGCTGTGGGCATCTTCCAGTTTCCTAGCAGCAAGAGTAAGGAACGAAGCAGAACTAAAACAGGGAGTCACAAAGCAACCCTCACGAAAAAGCCTAGAGATGCTAGGCAATGGGGAGGGCCACTTATGCTTCTCTGCCAAGTGACAGTGATAAAAGATAGGAAGTGACAGTCACTGAGCACTTACAATGGGCAAAGCTGGTCTACCAGCTTTCACTTGCATTCATGCACAGAACCTGTCTGGGACTCTTTTCACTCTTAAAAACTCAGCCCCAAATAATAAAAATAAGATATTAATTAAATAAAACAAGAAAGCAAAACATGTATATATATTTTTAAAAATTCAGCCCCAAAGACTTTTTGTTTATATAAGTTGTATTGATGTTTACTGTATTGTGAATTTAAGTACAGAAAAAATTTAGATACTTAAAAACTATAGTCAACCTGTTACACATTAACAGAAACTCTTTAATGAACAGTAACAATATTTTCCAAAGGAAAAATAAATGAGAAGAATGGCATTGTTTTACATTTTGGCAAATTTCCTTAAAGTCTGGCTCAATAGAAGACAGCTGGACTGGCCTACTGCTTTTGCATTCACTCTACTACTCTCCCAGGTCAGGTTGACCTTGAGAAAACACAATGTACACTCATGTAGGAATGAACATGTAAAGGGCAAATAATACCTTTGTGCTATTATGAAAAGAGTTTTGGCCTTCTGGACTTCTAAAAAACCTTGGAGACTCCTAAGTGTACCCAGACCAAACTTTGAGAACCACTGCCTTATGAGTTAGGATCAATTACAATCTCCACTTTATAAATGAGCAAACTGGCACAGAGAGGTCAAGGCATGATCCAAGGACATGTTGCTGGGACAGGCCAGAGCAGGTAAAATGCAAAGAGCATAATACTTTCATTTGGTTGCTTGTTGCAAGAACTAACTGAGATCATGAAGGTAAAGAGATGAGCATCCTGCTTGGTTATCACAAGCACTCAAAAACATCAATATCTCCCATTGGGCAAGGTCTGATGAAAAAATAAGGAAACTGCACATTTTTTATCAACTCATCATTGACACCAGCAAGAAAAAATACAACTCCACTGCAACTGTTGTCCAGAACTTGTACCAGCTTTCTGGATGGAAGATTTTTGCAACTCACAGACTCCAGGGCCTCACTCCATTCTTCGTGAGGCAAATGATGCAGTGTGCTGCACATATGTCACTGTGTTCCTTGGGAAACCTGAGCAAGCCAGGAGAGTAGCTCCATTATTTACAGGTTCCTTTTTACACCATGCTGTATTTACAAGGCACCCTCAGCAAACAACAATGGCGCCTCCAGTCTATGCAGTGAAACCTAGAAACCACCATCTGTGATCTTCTGGACCAGGAGCTCAGCACTCCGATGCCCTCCTTGTCCATCAACTTTTGTAACCCCTTGGCGCCTTCCTGCTCCGCCTGCAGTGGGTACTCAAGTCCAGAGTGCGGGCCAATTTTGTTCCTCCTTTGATTTGGGAAGTGAGCTCACCTGGGGAAGTGGAACTCAGTGCTGTTCAGGGCACTGCACGCTCAAAAGAAAAAAAAAAAAAAAAACTACCCTGAACAGAAGGCAAGAACGAGAGGCGCTTGAAGCTACTGCTTCCATCAACAGCAACCAGGATCTCTCACCTGGATCACTGCAGACTGGTCCCCCTCCACTCGATTGGAATAAAATCCAAACTCCTTAACTGGGCTTATGAGGATGTCTTATCTGGCACCTGCCTACCTGTCCTAGTAGAAGCAAGGGTTCCTCCTCTCTGGCCTTTGCTCTCTCTGCTCCCAACACCTGCAATGCCCCCCTAGGACTTCCAACAGCTCAGATGTCACCTCCTCAGGGAGGCCTTCGCTTCCTGCCCCTCTTTTATACCTGCCTCTCCATCCTTGCATCCGGTTGTACTTGAGACTTCAGAGCACTTACTCTCGGAAGTTATCTCGATTTTACTGGTCTATTACTCATCTCCCTCCTTCCTCATCCTCCTCCTAGAAGATAAGCCTCCAACAGCCAGGGCTCCACCGGGTCCCCACGTCTCCGCCGCCCGGCACCGCGCCTGGCACAGACTGAGCGCTCAGCAAAAACGGTCGAATGAATGAAGCAGCGGCGCTCGGTGGCCGCAAGGGATCCGAGCTGGCGTCCCGGTGTCCCGGGCCGGGGTCGGGATGGCAGGGTGGGGGACCGCGGGGCGCTACGGGGCTGCTCCCCTACCGGCCGCGCGCCCGGCCCGGCGCGGCAGGTGCTCGGGGAGGGCGCCCGCACACACCCGCCGGGGTCCGCGCCGCCGCCCAGCTCTCCCGCACTCACCATGGTGGCCGGGCCGCCGCCGTCCCCGGCCGGCGAGGAACGAGGGCGGGGGACGCGAGGGCGAGACGCGAGCGCTGGAGCCGGCGCGGCTGACAGGTGAGGAGCCTGCATCAGACCATGGCTGCTTCCCACAATGCCCTCGAAGCGAAAGTTTGCAGACTCCGCCCCGCGCCGCTGCCCTCCCTCCCCTCCCGCTCCTCCCGCTCCCTCGCTACCGCACTTCCTCCCCGCCTCACCTCCCACCTTCCCCTCCTCCTCTCCCTCCTCCCGCTCTTCCCCTTTTCTCATCCCTTCTCACCCTCCTTTCTCCTCCCCTCTCCTCCCCGCTTCCCGACTCCCTTCTTTCTCCTCCCTCCGCCCGCCCCGCTCCGCCCTGCCTCAGATGGCCCCGCCCCGCCTCAGATGGCTCCGCCCCACCTCAGATGGCTCCTCCCCGCCCCGCCCGGCACCGCGCGGGCGGCCCTAGGTGCTAATACACCTGCGCGCAGACCTCGGCATCCGGCCTGATGTGCGGTGCGCGGAGCACCAAGAGCTACGCGGGTTCCGCACTGAGGGGCCCTGCGCGGGGAGCGCGGAAGGAACTACTTCCTTGATTCACCCGCGCCGTGAATGTGATTTCATTCATTCCGCAAACGTTGATCAGACCTAGCTAAGAGATTTCCCCAGACACTTGCGGCGGGAAGTGTCACTGGTTGTCTTCCCCTGAACCACGTAAGGGAGGGAGCATTTGGTCGAGCCGGAACCAGAAGCGATCTCTTGCCGCCGAGTTGTTGTTGTTGTTGTTGTTGTTGTTGTTTTTCGTGTGTGTGTGTGTGTGTATAAAATCCAAGAACTATAGGACACTTTAAGCAGACCCGATTTTAAGAACTCTCTCCTAAGACTCTGGCGTGGACTTCCTGATCTTTCTTCTCCCCCTGGTTTTTCTTAAACCTGGAGTTTCCACCTGGGGCGTCAGGAGTCTCCAAACCCTAAATTGTAAGTAGTGTTTTTGAGTGCATTTTTATGTTCTTTTGGTTGAGTCGGTTGGTTTTACCAAATACCTAAGGAGATCTGTGACCCTGAAAAGGTTAAGAACCTTTGCCTGGGTGGTTTCTGGAAGTCAAAACTGGTGAAAATCCTCCGATCTGCCTAGTACGGTGTGATCCAGCCCAGGTGACCTGGAGATATAAGCTGCATATCCCCCATATGCTTGCTCCTTGGAAGAAAAGCTATGACAAACCTAGACATCGTATTAAAAAGCACAGACGTTGCCTTGCCGACAAAGGTCCCATAGTCAAACTTATGATTTTTCCAGCAGCCATAGAGGAATATGAGAGCTGGACCTTAAAGAAGGCTGAGCGCTGAAGAATTGATGCTTTCAAACTGCGGTGCTGGAGAAGAGTCTTGAGAATCCCTTGGACTGCAGGAGATCAAACAGTCTACCCTAAAGGAAATTAACTCTGAATATTCATGAAGAACTCATGCTGAAGCTGAAGCTCCAATACTTTAGCCATCTGATGTGAAGAGCCAAGTAATTGGAAAAGACCCTGATGCTGGGAGAGATTCAGGGCAGGAAGAGAAGGGGCAACGGAAGATTAGATGGTTGGATGGCATCACTGTCTCAGTGGACGTGAGTTTGAGCAAACTCCAGGAGAAAGTAAAGGACAAGGAAGCCGGATGCGCTGCAGTCCTTGGGGTTGCAAAGAGTTGGACGTGGCTTAGCAACTGAAAAACATCAAGCCACCTCCGTGCATTGTTGAAGCCACATTAATCAGAGCCCTACACACGGAGCACGGGGGATCCGGCTGGGAACCAGCAAGACACTTTCTTCAGAAGCTTATAACCTCTTTTGGCTCAACAAATAATAAACAAGTAAATAGATCATTACAAAGTAATGAGTAAGCATGTGAGAACATTACCAAGACAATGAGTACAGGTTGCTGGGACAGGAACAGGGGAAGCTACAGTTATTTAGCTGGGGCACCTGGGAAGGCTTCCCCCGGGGAGGTGACATGAGATATGGTGATGAGATGTCAGTGCGCTAAAGAAAAAAAAAAAAAAAGGATTGTCCTTCTCAAAGATCTCAAAGAAAACTTCTGTGACTGGAGTTAAGTGACAGGAAGTCAAAAGGTGGGCAAGAGGCAATGGGTCTTTCCTACCTTAAGGCAACTCGTGTACTAAAGCCCCCAAGACATCTGCAGTTTCAAACTTGGAAATTCTCAACATGCTCACTGCCTCCTTGTCCTGATGGCTTCCATCCCTGGTGTGGTGGCATCTGCCCAGAGTACTCTAGAATAGGATTATTTAAGAAATAATTAAAACCCGGGCTATGGGATGAGTTTGCCTTCTGACAGAGGATCTGCAATTTACTGTAAATTTAGAAGAGCTGTTTTCTAAGCAAATTCTACCCCCAAAGTTCATTTTCTTCCTATCTTGGGCATTTTGGGCTTCAGTCTAAACTTTGTCTCTCCTACTTGCTATCTGACTTCAGGGCTCACCCCTGTCCCATTTACCTTGACCATTCTGCGAATCTTCTGCTTTAAAGATGTTGCCATTGGAAAGAGATGGGAATGCTAAAGGTGGGGCTTAAAGTTAAAGAAATCTTGAAGCTTTTGTCATGACAGTTAAGTAAAAGATAAAAGCAGAAGAAAATTCGCTTATTATGTGGCCCAGACTAGGAAAGCTTTGGTTTGAGAATAAGAGCATCCTTTGTCTTCCCACATGACCTTGCTGAGAGGGGCAGAGGATGCTCTCCTGGGCTGTTGCTCACTAATGTTCTTCCCTCCAGATTCCCACATCACACCCTAAATCACTCTTGGGGCTGGACACTTTACATAAGTGGTCTTATCTGGCCCTCAAACAGCCTCCAAAAGAAGGAGTTCTTTGCCCACTGTACAGATGAGAGCCTGAATCGCAGAGGCATTGAGACCAAAGCAAGCACAGACAACTAATCAGAGGCAGAACTGAGCCTTGAATCAAGGCACTGAGGTTCAAGTTGCTTCCCACTGAAGCCTCACACCTGGTAGAGCCACACGGGACACACAGTGGGGAAGAAACAATGTTTATCCAGAACACCCATAGGTCTTGGTGGAATAGCATGCGTTTTTGAGTCTTGATTTCCCTAGCCCATCTTTGCTCCCTCTTGACCTCCACAGCAGGTCCACTATTATTAAGAAGGCCCAACCCCAGGGAGTACCCAGAGGCCCTGGAAATCAAGATGCTATACCAGGGAGATGGTCCTGAAAGTGCCTTTGATTCTAAATCCGCTGTCATAAGCAGAAGCCAGGAAGCATGGTACATGACACATGATTCAGATCAGGTCATCTGTGAGCTGATTCGTGTAATTCTGTGCACAAAGCCCTGGTATTAGGTCAACTCGATTTGTGAGTTTCACTTCTCAGATGACTCTATAACTGCACGTTAACAGAAAGAACAGAGAATACTAAAGCCGCCACGAGGTCCACAGAAGGGGAAGAGGGTGGAGTTACAAATCAGGGACATGATAGTGAAGTAAAACACTGATAGTCCATAAACCAGAATACCGACTGTCTGGAAACTGAGAAAAGTCAAGATGCAAGTTTTACAATATAAAAGGAACAAAGAAGCAGCCAGCTTCAAAGCCAGCCTGTGCAATTCCTCCATGGCAGCACGCATTTTACTAAAGCCCCACTGTCCTTCAGTGTGTTCCTATTAGTGTCTTAAGGCATCAACATCCCCAGTAATCCCCTCTGAAGTGTCTAGGAATTCACCTCGTCATGGCGAAACTTGTGGTCTGAGGCCTTATGTTTTTAGAAAACTTTTCTTTTCAAAACTGGACTGTTTTATTCCAAGGAAAATAACCTTATGCAATGTATCTCTTAAGAATATTTTCAAAACATTTTCAGTTAAAAAATAATATAGGTTCAGTGTAGGTTTGGAAAATACAGGAGAGGGTTATTTTAAAGCCTCATTCCTAATCTTACCATCAAGAAATAAACACTGTTGGAACTTCCCTGGTGGTTCAGTGGTTAAGAATACACCTGCTAATGCAGGGGACATGGGTTCGATCCCTGGTCCAGGAAGATCCCACCTGCAGCAGGGAAAATAATCCTGCTCACCACAACTACTGAAGTCTGCACACCCTAGAGCTTGTGCTCTCCAACAAGAAAAGCCACTACAATGAGAAATTCACAACTAGAGAATAGCCACTGCTCATTGCAACTAGAGAAAGCCCTTGAGCAACAACGAAGACCCAGCACAGTCAAATGTAAAATATATTAATTAATTAGTTTTTTTAAAAAGAAATAACCACTGTTATAGTTTGTGTATTTCCTTTTAGATTTGTATTTTACAGGCATAGAGGACAAGAGTGAAATTTAGTTTTTAAAACAAATATGGGAATCCTAGCATATGTACTGTTTTATATTCTACTGATTGTTTTTTTGTTTGGTGCTTTTTGGGGGGTGAGGGTAACAGTTACTGAACAAATATTAATTGAGCATCTGCTTTGTGCCAAGAACTGTGTTGGCCCTTGGGCATAGAACAGTGAGGCAGGGGGGAAAGATACGAATGGTCCCTCTCAAGATGAGTATGCAGTGCTATAGGGAAGCAACTTTTTTTAAGTAACATACATAAATATATAATTATCAAAAAGAGAAAGTGCTATGCAAACCTGTAAGAAATCCTGATGGACATTTACTTTCCTCTCCAGGATCCATTCTCCCTGCTTCCTGAAACCCCAGTTTGGGTTTGGAGACCCAACATATGCATAACTCTTCACTTCAGGAATAGCACATGGCCCGATAGCATCCTGGCAGATCAGAATGTTGTTCCCCAACAGAGACAGTGGCTGGTTCTGAAACAGGCATATGCTTGGAGTTAAGTAACCCAAGCCATCAAGACTGAATTCTGGGGTATTAACTGGAATCTTCTTGGAGAAGTATATCCACTCTTCCCACTAGGTTTGAAGTTAAAGGAGGAAGCTGGAGCCATTGCAGCCATCTTAGCACCATGAAGAATGAACATCTCTTTGAAGCCATCACCAAAGAAATGGGTCCAAGAGACAAGAAGATAATCGGGTCCTCATGACACTTTTTGAGTCCTAGATCAAGCCTGAATTTTGCAGTTACCTGAACCAGTTTGGCTGGTTCAAGAGGATTCAAGGCGTAAAT